AGAAATATGAACAACCTCAGATATGCAGATGATACCACTCTGATGACAGAAAGTGAGGAGGAATTAAAGAACCTCTTAACGAGGGTGAAAGAGGAGAGCACAAAAAAATTGTCTGAAGCTCAACATCAAAAAAACTAAGATCATGGCCACTGGTCCCATCACCACCTGGCAAATAGAAGGGGAAGATATGGAGGCAGTGACAGATTTTACTTTCTTGGGCTCCATGATCACTGCAGATGGGGACAGCAGCCACAAAATTTTAAAAAGCCTGCTTCTTGGGCAGAAAACGATGACAAACCTATACAGCATCTTAAAAAGCAGAGACATCACCTTGCCGACAAAGTCCGCATAGTCAAAGCTATGGTTTTTCCAGTAGTAATATATGGAAGTCAGAGCTGGACCATAAAGAAGGCTGACTACTGAAGAACTGATGCTTTTGAATTGTGGTGCTGGAGGAGGCTCTTGAGAGTTCCCTAGACTGAAAGGAGAACAAACCTATCCATTCTAAAGGAAATCAACTCTCAGTGCTCACTGGAAGGACAGATCCTGAAGCTGAGGCTCCAATACTTTGGCCATCTCATGAGAAATCTCCCTGGAAAAGACCCTGATGTTGAGAAAGTGTGAAGGCAAGAGGAGAAGGAGACAACAGCGGACAATATGGTTGGACAGTGTCATCAAAGCTATCAACATGAATTTGATCAAATTCCGGAAGGCAGTGGAAGACAGGGGGGTCTGGCGTGCTTTGGTCCATGGGGTCACAATTTAATGACTAAACATGAACAAATACATAATAATATTGGAAATACCTTGTTTGCTATTTTATTTGTGCAGTTCTCCAGCAGCAGCAATTACAGAAAGTATTCTGATTGTTCCTTACAAAAACATGGAAGACACACGTGTATTTAGCCTACTCACTTTCTTTGCATTTATTGATCCGCAGAAGTAACAGAGAATACAATTACATGGCAAAAGAGTGGGAAGTTACAAGTAACAAGCAAGGATGAGCAACACAAAAAGATTAGAGAGTGGGATGGAAAGGAACAGCCTGCTTTGTTGTACTGGCTTTCTCCTCCATCCTATCAAGCAACAGTAATTATTCCATGAAATATATCAACAAGAATAAAGAGGTGGATGCTTGGTCCATACAAATGATGGAAATTGTCAGTTGACAGCTAAAAACAAGTGGTAACAGCATATTAAAAATGAGAGATGATCAGGTGGCATTTAAAAAATAAAATAAAATTGAAGCACAGATGGGTTTACCTTCTCAGAAAATAATCTGGGAGGGGAGAGATGGCCTCTTAACACACTATCAGAAATTATATGTGAAAGCACTGAAATGAGTTTATGAAACTTAAAAGTTATATTCAACAGGAAGAAGCGTGCCTTGGGTGTCAATAGAAATTACATTCCAGAAAGTTGTGTAGATGAGAAGCACATGAATTATTTTGGTGCAATTAGAGGGAGGGAGGCGAGGTAGGTACTTACATAAATATCAGAGAACAGACCTACTATTTCTAATAGATCTAGTCACTAAAAAATAGACAAAGCCTGGACAAGATATCTATCAAGATGGGTAGATTTGGCTTCTGGGAAATTCATGCACAAGAACTATCCTTATTTGTATCTCAGCAAGTAGAGTTGATATGTGGCTGTCTTTCCACCTGCAGCTATAATGCTCATTCTTGACCTCCTCCCATTCTGTTTACTCCTTGCAATCCTGAACTGTATGATACTCATGATGAAATTTACATAACCCCCACTGCCTTACAAATATGAACACAAGAAACAATTTGGAGATTTTCTGTAGGTCTAGCTCCCTCTCTTTTCTATAGATGACAGATAGGTCTGAAGTTGGCAATGAAACAGCAACTGATGGCAACAGCAAATCAAAACCAGGATTAATGCTACCAAGCAACAAGTCTTCCAGGAAAATAGGAAGTGATGAGTAAAATGGGAAGCATACATGGACTTAAGGTAAGCCAATGAAAATGGGAGTGCTGGTACCAGATCAGAAACTAATATTGTATTTAATCAAAGGACGGGCAAAGTGCAGATTGTCAGTCATATGTAGCCTCCAAGGCTGTTTTAGAGAACTTGCTATCCCTTGTGTTTGTGTAAAAGATCATTTTCTACTCCTGAAAGCTTCTAGGAGCAATTTATGTTCAATCAAATGGGGTGCAGAGCCCTTAAAACCTCTCCACAAGCCCTTCTCATCCCAGGAACTGCCTTTTTCTTTCCAGGAACATTTTCAAACCTAATGCTGCTCATGGTCATCATTTTTTGGTATGGTGACTGAAGATGTACATCATGTGTGATCATACTGTGGATATGTATAAAGGCTTTATGATATTGGCAGTTTTAGTTTCGGATCCTTTCCTAATGATCCCCAACATTAAATTTACTTTTTTCAAAGCAACTATACACTGGGGCAGCATTTCTTTTATCGAGCTAATCACCACAATCTCACAACCTTTTTTGGTCAGTCACTTGGTGGAATCCATGAATATATATATGAAGTTGAGATTTTTTTTCACAATATGCTCACACTTAATTGTATTTGCCATTACAATATTGCAATTACCTTGAATCTGAAAAGAAACTTTGGGAGCTCTTTGTTTCCTATTTCATTTCAGCTACTCTAAAAAATATATATAGTACTATCAGCAAACTTGGCCATCCCAATATTCACTCCTAACTTCAGATCACTGAGGAGCAAATACTTGTCAATAGGCTTTTGAAAATTCAACTACATCTTTGACTGTACTTGCTGATAGTCCCACAGAATTCTAAAGGATTAATGGGATGGAATTTTCTATTTGCCCTTGGATGTGCCTATAATTTTATCTTTAATGCCTTTCCATCAATTCACCTGGAAAAGTCCTTAAGATAATGGATCTATAATTTCCTGGATTCATTCTCTACCTCTTTTCTTTTAAAAAAGGGTGTCATGTTGCACTTTTCAGTTGTCTATAGATGTAGATTTTGATCCATGAAAGCTCACGATGAAACAAAGTGGTTAGTCTTTATAGTGCCACAATATTTTGTCTTTAGTTTTAGTGGTTTTCCCCCCCCCCATTAAAATTTTGCCAACTTCTTGAGACAGACTAACATAGCTACATCTTTGTAATTTGCAGTACTCTGGTACATACTAGGGATCTTCAAAACCTGTTACATGTTTTTGTTAGGAAAGCTGCAATTTTGTATCTCAATACTTTAAGAACTTTTGGACAGATAAAATCTGGACCATGATATATTTGTTTTCTGTCACTGGCCTCTGAAATTTCATCTCTCATCACCACTATTTGCATGAGTTCCTTAGACTCCCTTCCTGAAAATGTCAATTCAAGCATTGGTGTCTACCTTAATATTCTAGAGCTAAGACAGAGAACAGCAATTCATTTCTCTCCTCTGTCAGCTCAGCCACTTGTGCAATCAAGACTTCCCTTCCCTTCGTCCTCTCGACAAAGCCCTGTGGAGGAAAATGGGTGTCTTTTGAACAGAGTATTAGAGAAGAGTCTTCCTATGGAAAGTTGCAATTGCCCCAAACCCTTTTTACAAGGCGCTGCAGGAGTGGAATTCCCCCTGCACAATATTCCTTTCCACAGTAAGTACCAATGACTCCTTTCTGCTCCAATTTCCTATAATGCAGTGCTTGTCCCTAGGACTGAAAGACCCCCAGAAAAGTTTTTTGGGGGGCACTAGAGCTATAATACAGAAAGAGAGGTGTTTAATTTGAGAACAATTTGGACCCAACCTTTTATATTTCAATTTAAATCAAAATTAGCTTTGTGAACATCGTATTTTGTCTTCATTCTCAGGCCAGAATCCTATTTGCCTTGTGGCATTCCATGCAATCTCCAATTTGATGTTCCATCAGCTTCAGGTTAGCCCATTGAAACAACTAAGACTTACACCTGCAAAAATAGGTAATGGAAACCTCTGTGGGAAAGCTCCAGAAGACTCCAGGTGCTTGTGGAAGGTGGATGGAGCAAAGAAGATTCGGTGCATGGAAGCTTAGTGCTAGATTTGCTTCTTCAAAATTCAGTCTAAAATGGTATATAGTCAGCAAAACATGCATTTTGCAGATAATCTCTGTAAATAAATGCAGAATTCATGCAGTGAAGTGAGAAACTAACCTGCCCTCTTCAAGAAATTGATATGGGCACATTTATTTCCAACACTAAATACTTCACATTTTCCCACAAGGAACTGGTTGTTCTTACAGACTTCCTTAACTTACTGCTTTGGGGAATTAAGACAAACTTGGTGATGAATATGACTTTCTATTAGGCAATTTTCTGTTTCAATTGTGCACAGCCACTTATGAGGCAGAACATAACAGCTCAATCAAACCTTATTATATCAGTTTTACTTGAACGGCAAAATGCAGAGAGAATATTCTGATATTTCATCAAGTCATGGGGGAAAAATCATAAACTGTTATTTTTCAAAGGAGGAGAAAAAGAAAATTGGTATTACATATACCTTTTTATCACACATACCTTTTTATATTCTCTTAATTTCTTCTGCCATTCGGCTTGAGCGACAGAAATATACTTGCTGTCAGTTACGTAACAGTTTGCCATAAGTACATGGCTAAGTTCAGCATGGGGGCTCATAGCTTTCAAGACTTTTTCCACGTGGCTTAAGGAAACAGCAGCTTCTGCTCCAACACCAGCACTTACAAGCTGCATAGTGCATGGCACTAATGCAATCTGTCCAGCACAGTACAGAACATCTCCAACCTAGAAGAGAAAGGAGAGGGAGAAGGCATAAGAAAAATGGCGGAATTGTCCATCTCCATTTCTTTTGAGAAGCTATTAGGAAACTCTTTCTAACTTTGGTACAAAAGGAGCAAGTGTACCAATGTTAAAGGTCATTTTTGACAGGGATTTAGTTACCTCATAAAAAGTACAGCATTTTAATAAGTTTGAACATGAAAGTTAATATATGGATGCCCCTATATGCATAATCACTTTCAGACTGAGCAGCAGTGAACTGAGCAGGTATTCCAGAAATATGTAAATTTAACCTTTCACAATGTCACAACATTTCTAAGGTATCAATGAAAGATTTTGTGTCACATTTCAAATAAATTTGTTTACAACCTGTCAATTAGGAAGGCAGAAAAGGGGAGAGTAGGTCGTTATATGTTCTAGTTAGCAATAGTTATAATTAATTTAAGCAGACATGGCAGGCTCATTATCATTACTGTGATACACAAACTTCATATAACAATTATTTCCTCCCAGAATTATTCTCTAACGCACAAATAGGTAAATTCTACAAATATTTATAAATTTATTCAGTTGTGTTAAAGGTTCAAAAGTTTTGCAGTGCTGTGTGTATGATTAATATACTATACATTTACACAAGTATACTGTAAAATGCACTTACAAACAACTATGTATTATCTTACATTTAATTTAAACAAGTTGCATAAACTCCATTTACACAATATCAATATGAATTATGTATGGTAAGCAAATAACCTCTGTTTTTTTCCCTTACTGCATTATCTAGAAAGCTTAAGAGAGGTCCAACAGTGGTTTCAGCAGTTCTATCTCATACACTTTTTTCTGGAGAAACCAAATTTGGCCTCTTTCAACCATAACTGCTCCCCTTGAAGAATGATTACTATAATGTATTTTATCTAGGGCTGCCCCTGAAGACAGTCCAGAAGTTAACATAAATTCAGAATGCGCTGATTTCTGAGATCAGTGCTTGTAAATGTAATTTTAAAGCTAATATACTGGTGTTACCTTGGAGAAAAGGAATGAAGTGACAATTGCTTTTACCAAAGTAATATATGCTATTTTTTCTTAGTAATGCACGAATCCCCTTGAATAACAGACATAAAGTCATAAATAATTTTACTCAGAATATTAACATTGTTGTTATAAAACCTGAAGAAATGATGGTGGCACTCCATTTTGTTTGGTAATGATTCCAAGCTGTGGTCATGATTCTGAACACAGTTAAAGGTATAGTATTTGAACCTTTACTAGCTTTGGTGGTTATTCATTTGTTTCCAGTTTGACTGAAGGTACTTTTCTTTAATTTTAAAACCGAAATTGGCTGAAGCTGGAATACTTCAAGAGTCTCCTTTCCACATATAAGCTAGCTCCAAAAAACTTCATTTTCAGTGGGAAATGTCTGAATAGCTTCTGGGGGCTTTTTCAAAGTTGCTTTGTCTTATTCCTTTTTTTAAAATTAACTAAAACATAAACATAAAATACACAAATCAAAATACAATTTAACTGTGTTGCCCACCGCCGAACATAAACATAAAATACACAAATCAAAATTTAACTGTGTTGCCCACCGCCGTAGGTGTGACCTCTTGCAATAATCTTCTTCCTCCATCTATATTCTTCCTCTTTTATTGTTCTCTTCTCCAGAACTGCATTGATTCTTGATTTGGAGCTTTCCCCTTTCCTCTTGTTAATACATATTCCAAGAATCTGCCCCATATTTCATAAAAAATATCCTTTTTCAACACTCCTTTCTCAACCTTTAGATTACAAATTAATTTATCATTTATAGCTATATTCCATATTTTATTATACCATTCATCCATTTGACATTCAGATTTTGATTTCCATTGCCTAGCTATTATTAATCTCGCTGCTGTTAATAAATTAGTTATCAATTCTATAATCATTTTATCATATTCCACATTCTCAAATATTGATAACAAAGCGATCTCAGAATTCAGTTCTATGTCTTCCACATATATAATTTAATTCTTTAAAAATTTGTTTCCAAAATCTTTGTACTTTTTCACATTCCCACCACATATGAAAGTATGTACCAATTTCCTTCTCACATTTCCAACATTCAGATAACTAGCATTAATTTTATTTAATTTTGTTGGTGTTAAATACCATCTTAGACATAGTTTAAATTTTTTTCCCTTATTCTCACTGACATAAATCTTAAAACCCTCATATTCCACATCTTCCTCCATTCTTCCTCGTTTATCCTTTTTTCCAAAGTCTTGTTCCCACACTAGCTTCACTCCTTCTTTATCACTTTCTTCTTCTTCAAAACTGAGCAGGAATCCGTAAATTGTACTCACCGTGCCCTTTATTGAATCAGTCATCTGAATGTCTTCATATAATAGAAATTGTTCGTACTTCGTGTATTCTCTACCTTTGTTATATTTCTTTACCTATTCATTAGTCCATCTTTCTAATTGTATATAGTTCAACCATGAGATATTCTTATTCTGAAGAATTTGTTTCATTTGCTCTATTGATCTCATTTTGTACAACCAATCTTTCAATCTAATCACTTTTTTTCTTTAAATAATTCCGCATACACTTTCACATTGACAGGAAAATTCTCTGTTTCTGGCTTTGTCTTATTCTTATTCATCTTTCAAGTCGTTTATTTATCTGCATTGTTTCTATTCTCCATAAGCACAAAAATGTAAAAGTCTTACAGCTATAAAAAACTGAATGCACAGACACAAAAATATGAAAACTAAAGTTGCAGGTGAATATTTAAGTCAAAATTCAATCCAAATTACTGTACACTTCTAAAAATACAAATTACTGTACACTTCTATGATCCATGATGACAGTTGCTCTTTGATACCTGATGACCAAAGTGGCATGAAGTTGTGATGATATGGTAAGTAAATGCATTCTCTTATCTCCCTATACTTATAATTCTTTCTGATTTCCACACCACTTCGCAATCTGTAAATAACATCTTTTCCAGGGGCCTGGTGCTCCAAGACTTTTTTTCAATAGGAATCTCAAATGTTGCTCTACCTACTATAACTCCAGGGGTTTATAACTTAGTACAGTATCTCTCAAGCTGCCACTAGGATGATGATGATGTTATTGTTTTAACTAAAATTTTGCAGAGCTTGGAGAGATAAAGCTTTGTCACACCCAGAGTCCTGGAACACCAGAATATTGTAGCACCAAGGTTCTGGAACTGCAAAGATGCAGGTGCAAAGGGTACAAGTTATAAAGACTGGGATCTGCAAACACCACCTCCATATTTACAAATTGTAACATAAACATGTTCAACTGTCAGGATGTTACCATATTTACAAATTGTAACATAAACATGTTAAACTGTCAGGATGTTATGGTACAGTGACCTTGCTCAGAATTGGCTAATTGTTTTGAAATAGTAAACTTTTGTTCAAGTCTCAATTTTAAAAGCACTTCCATTCTCAGGACTGCTTTTTCGATATCCCTCCCCCCTTTTATTATTTTAGCACTCTCTATACACAAACTTTCACATCCTGACATCGGAGGCTACTGGAAGTGAGGGCTGCAGATTCAGCAGAAGACAATTACAGTAGATCACAAACACAATGCTCACATGATCATCACTTTATGAAATACAAACGACAGAAGCTCAATTGCACGGCACTACAACGATTATAGTAGTCCTACATAATTTAGAAAGCTATTTGTTACGTACCTAGTCTAAGAGAGCATGATCACTATTAGTAAAAAAAAAATTGTATGTGGGCCTCAAAACAGAATTCTAAGTGTGCCCAAAAATGCTTAGGTAGGATACTTGAGCATGGGGAAGGAGGAGGTTAGAATGTGACACAAACAGCCAAAGATACTTTGGTAGGATATTTGACATTTCCATGCTGTACCAAAGTATACTCCAAAATAGCTATGACATATGCAAACCTCACAGAGACCATACTAGCAGCCAAATATGAAGACAAAAAAAGGGATTATGCACACACCTAGACAGGTTATAACACTGTACCTCATACGAATTACAAAATGAAACATTTGCCACATCGGACCTGGAGACTTAACTGTTGCCTCTTTACAGAGAAAATCCACAGGCCGAATACTTGATTTAAGCATTACCATGGATGTTGAAATCAGTGGAACTTTCTATTGGGCTGTGTAGTTAAAAAAGCAAAAAAACAAACAAACAAACAAAACCCCCATACCTGAGTTAGTCTTGAGGAGAGGAGGTGGCAGCAAGGTGTATGCATGCTTGAATACCAGCTTTACACAAATGTGAGACTGATGTGTCTGTAATTTGCTTTCTGTCCTATATTTACCAATATCTGATACTAAGTGATTGTAGGCAATCATTTTATGATTGTCTCAGTCCTACAAGTGGATGGCGAAATCATCGCAATGTGCTTCATATGGTGCTCTTGACTGTTGGTAGAAAGTGGGAGAAGAAACACAGGATGGCTTGTTTGCATAGCATCTACACATTACCCACCATAGCCTGCTTTTTAGGGTGAGTTTCAGGCAGCTAGCTATAATAAAACACAACCACAAAACAAGAAACAAAAACAAAACAAAATAAAACAGCTCCTTGAAATATTAGGCATATTGAAAATCGGCAACAAGAAATACAAACAATAAAATCAGTCATAGAATTGAAGGATCCAACAAAAGCAAAAACAAAACAGAAGGTCAAAGAACAAAGGACATTCAAAAATGGAAAATCTTCACCTGAGAATCCTCACCCCAATCTTCATCTGAAGTAAGAGATTAAAATGTTGGAATTTTACAATAATATAAAGTAACTTGGCATTAATCCTTTAGGAAAAATTGCAGAATAATCTGTGTGTGCAATGTAAAAGAAAAAAACACACAACCCAATGCATTCAAAGACATGGCAATCAAACCATGTCACAAACCCATATGCAACTTCAAATCTGTCCTTATAAAACTGCCTGTATTTCACAGAAGACTCACACATGTAACTATTGGAAGAGCATATTAAACTATTT